TAACCTGGCCATTGTAGCACACAACACGTGTCACGTTTTCAGCTCCCCTGTTTTGCCCAACCATGTTACACTAAAATGCTTTAAGGGTTTGTTTGGGTCTTCACTGGTGCATATTAAAATAGACTATTTTAAATGACAAACTAGTCCCTTAGTGCTTAGCAGTTTTAGTGGCCATATTCAAAATGTGCTGAAGAAAGAGAGTTCGAAGTATTTCCCGAAGGTTTACATTGTCAAGGAACTATTCAAGTAAAGTATTGTGAATTTTTACGCTTGAAGTAAAGATCAAAGGTTGATTTAGGACATTAGGCACATGATAATAAAATACCGGAGACAGGAGACGAAATGCCAAGGCGCTGGGAACACGTGTTCATTAAATAACGCGAAAACAGTATACCATACAGTTTTTCTGTTTCACATATTTTTAGTTTTAGCTATCTTGCCCTGGGTGAAGAATATTCTAAGTTCCACGGGCGACTTCGTTTTAAAGGGGTTTTCTGCATCGACAGGCTTTAACTGTAACAACAAAATTTCTAGTAGTAACTGGGATTTTTTGTTTGGAGAATAGTTTGTTTTTCTTGGTGTGTTCAGCATTTACAGGATGCATATTCAGATTCTTCTTTCAAATTTTAATCCAACATTACTAATTCCTTCATGATTTTCCGCGAATATTAAATATTTCTTATTTCGCTTCACCCCACTCTTTGACTTGTGATCTGTTGAGTGCTGCATCTAAGATTTAAAATTTAGTATTGAACTGCTTGCGTTAAAGTTACATAGTAAATATAACATTGATTTAGCAGTTGGCGTCTTAATGTCAGCCAGCTTGAAGATTTAGGATTAAGTTCATTGGAACAACCTTCTTTCACTTCATTGAGGATTAAAACTAATATCTTCATTATTACCATTTAAAATGCAGCAGATAACTGAATATAATTTTTGTTTATAATGCCGGATCAGGCTTGGATTCAAAATAGCAGTCCAGACAGGAAAGGTGTTACCAAGGCTAGCGTGTATTATTCATTTGCTAATTTGTCAATATTTCTTTCGTCTACTCTTATTTTT